TTTGACAAAGAACTCATTGGTCTCGCGTACTTTGTCCTCATTGGAGGCTTGCTTATAGGGTAGTAGGACCACGGCTCTATACTTCTCGTCGCGATCGCTGATTAGATCAAATACCTCGCGGTGTAATTGCTCACGCGCTTCAAATAACCATTTGAGTTGTGTGAGCTTCTCTAGGAGCTCTGGCTTCTCATCCCCTTCCTCCTGTGTTTGGTCTGGGGTCTCGGATCGTGCGTCGTCAAACAGCCTGCCACGTAGCTCGTCAATGCACGCCGTAGCCCTGTCAATCCTGTCTGCAAGAATCGCACGCATCGGCTTGAATACTGATTCTTGGTATGTGTCCAGCCCTCCCTTTATCAGATCTCTTTCAAGCCGGTTTTCCTCCACAATCAATGCAGCCTCTGCTTCTGCCGCCTCCGCAAAGGTGATACTGCCTTGTTGGATTTGACTCTGGATGTTGGCCTTGAATTGCCGACGTCCCTCTCGGACGCGTGCTTGGTGATCTTGGAACAGCCCATCCATTTCCGTTTGGTGTCGCTGCCTGGCGGTCTTGATCTCCGATAAGTCTGTAATTGATCGCACCAATGTGCGATAAGTAACGAGGTCAGGATGGCTGTTGTTGACCGCAGGATAGTGTCGGGGATACGGCGGTGGCAAGGTGATCAGTCTCGAGACATCCATCCTCTGCACTTCTTCAAACCGCCTACTAGATCCGAGGCGGACATTGTTGGAGTAGTCTTCCAGGGCAGGCTCCTCGTGCCACCCAACCTTTTCGGGAGGGTATTCATCGGGACCATATGCAGCGTACTGATTACCCCCATTCGATGTGCCGGCATTCCCTGTGTCAGACGAGCCCTGACTTTCCTCCCATAGCAGAGCCCCGCGTGATAATCCCATATATTTGGTCTCCCTCTTTGACCTCTGCACTCTTCGCTCCCCCCCTTCACTGCTAGAACCAGTCTTTGACTCCCACCATCGACTAGGCGCCCGTCCCCTCGAGCTCATCTCGTCATTACTCAGCCCAAGACTTGCGATTGGTGAGAGGCACGGCTGATAATTGTTCCACCAGGCCGATTCTGGACGTACCTGGGGTATGTCCAGCTTAGGCGCCGTAGGGTTGGACGCCCTTCTAGAAGATGGACCGGGTACTACCTGGCTGGTCTGTGGCACTGGCGCTGTTTTGGGAGGGGAGACAAACAATTTACGGCGTACACTTTCAACATCAAAAGAATCCAGGTCCCATACTTTAGCATACCTCTCACGCCGGATCTGGGACTCTGAGATGATGAAGTCGGCAAACAACCGCAATGCTTCTTTCTCATCCATCGTGCCGGCCTCCTTCTCAATGAACTCACGATGTCTCTGTATAGCGTTCCGGACATAATCGTCATCGCGTTTAATGACAGAATCGAGAGATGGATTTTGCTGGGCCGACACGCGACGTGGGGCTAAGGGGGAGACTGTAGTCACAGGCTCGTTTGGAAGGTGTAGTATATGTGAGACTGGTCGTTCTTCCTTGGACCCAGGCCGAGACGGTGTAGTTTCTGAACCAGATTGCAGAGGGGGCGTTGGTAGGGCTTTGGGAGGTAGTGCTGGCGATGTACGTTTGGGGAATGCAGACGACCTTTCTGTTCCCGGTGAAAATGGCGGCGTCTGCGCAAACCGCGAATTTGAGGTCGGTGCTTGAGGACTCGGCTCAGGCTTGGGGGTTGAACAGGACCGGTTTGAAAATAGACCCCCAGAAGACGCCCTAGATCGTGATGTAATTTGTGGGCCATCAGAAGAAATGCTACGAGTGCTGAGAGGTGCAGCTTTGGCCGAAGCGGGGTTTCGGCCGTTATCCGTGTCCACGCTCGATTCTCCCAGGACTAGGTTGGAGGGTTTTAGTTGTTCGAGAGCTTCAGCCCAGGGGTTGCTGCTCATGGAGACAGCACTGAGGCTATCAAGCACCTGGCTTTGCCTGTTCCGGCGTTCAATCCTCCTTTCTCGGATGCCTTTAGCATTTGGGTCTTTGATAGCTGGGCTCCGAAAAAGACCACCACTATTGGGATTATGACTTGCGCGAGACGACTCTAGTGATTCCGGCCCGTTCGTATTGGATGTAGTTGCCGTGTCAATGGTTAGGGGTTGCCTCTCTGTCCTGGGTTTAACATCGATTGTTTCATCGACCCATCCAGCTGGTGTTGGTGGAATGCTATCCAAACTTGTGCCTAAAACCGGAGGCGGCCGTGCCCTGCCGCCCCTAACAGGACCTTGCGAGTTCCGGGATGACGACGAGTCAGAGAGACCATTCACGCTCTGTGACCTTGTGGCCGGCGGCGGTCCTGGTGGGGGTGGAGGAAGGGGCATTCCCGGTTCCCAACTAGTTCCTGGAGGGGATCGTGCTCCAGACTGACTATGAGCTCTTGATGAACTCGCACTGTTGACGGCTGGCCCAGCAGATACGGCCCTTCTTGCAGCTGGAGGCCGATCCGTATCAAAGGGTTGAGTAGGCTCAAGCATGTTGCTATCGTCGCTCAATTGTGTCGAGTGGAGATTATCAGGCGAGACGACAATGTGCGGCCCTGGCCCTGCCATAACTGACGCAGGTTCTCTATAAGTCTCTGATCTATTCTGGGATGAAGACCTAGATGAAAGGCCTGGTGGCAGCGGCGGAGGCGGTGGTAGTGAAACTCGTCGATTATGGCTCGACTCACTTCCCACGAACATCGACAGAGGGCGAGTACGGGGAAGACGGCGTTGTCGATACTCTGAGGGAGCATCCACACCTGCACGCACCGCCCCATTATATGAAGAGCTAATGCTGGGTGACGTAGAGCCCATTGATGATGTATTCTGACTGACATTTTCTCTCTGATGTTGCTGGCTTGGCGGAGAGTATGGTGGTGGAGGCGGCGACAAAGATACATCTACAAGGTCACATTAGGTTCGATTTCCTGGTCACCGAGAATATGCAGCAAGCTAGAGATTCCAAGACTACAAAGGGCAAAGGAATACAGGAGTATGAGGCAGTCAGAGAAGTAGGGACAGAAGAAAAACAAAGACAGACCTGAGTGAGGACCGGTTGACCGTGGCTGAGAGACGATCCGCAACATGCTATTTGGTGGCGTATATGTAGCTTGGCCAGCATTCATTGAGCCACTGCCCACTGGACCCCAATCCTGAGGATTGTAAGGTACATTGTATTGTCTAGAAGCCATTGGTGACGATCCGATTGCCGCCCCTCCAGGCGAGCCTACGGCGGGAGACTGGCCTTGTGTGAAAGGACTAGACAATGAGGTCGACGAGAGAGGGGTGGAACTGTAGCCCGAACCCAGCGCGAGCCCAAGCCCTTGGAATTGATGACCACCCAGCGATGTTGTCAGAGGAGGGGGCTGTACAGCATGCTCTCGACGACTAGGAGACGGCTGGTTACTGGAGGTAAGAGGTGTCGGCCAGCCGCTGTAAGAATAAGGACCAGACGGCGGCTCGTCGCCAGCATTGCCCGACGATCGCCAGCTATAAAGAGGCCGTGGATCAGTACCTTGCAGCGTCGCGAGACAGACACGAGAACAAGTCGAGGACCACAGCGTGTGAGAAAAGCTGGGCGCACCTATTCATACTAACGGAAGGATGCAGGGCCAACCGAACACGGAGCCATGGCTGAGGGCTGAGGGCTGAAAGGCAGGAGGGAGATTAGATTGTGCCAACACGACGAGCGATTGAGAAGGAGCCAGAGAGGGCTGAAGCGCAGACCGATTTCTATTCTTTGCAACAGCCTCTGGTCCAACCAGGTGTGGATGAGGCTTGCAGGCCCAGACGGGCCAGTCGGTACGTATCAACGGTTCGACGAGCATCGTGGGTTTCGATCGACTGACCAGGGAGGCCAGCAAGATGCGTGCTAGAGTCCCTCTAAATGTTAAAAATAGCACAAGAGCCAACAAGCAGCGGGCGGGGATAAGAAATGGAGTTGCAGGTCTTGACTCTTCAGAGAACTAGTGCATCCCGCGACATGCAGCCCGGCCGGTTTGATCACAGGCGGCGTGGATGCTGGCGCTTAACTTGCCCGTCCGCGCCCTCTCACAGGCCCGTCGCCCTCCGTGCTCCCCCTCGCCCAGACCCTGCTCCAACAAACCAGCATCGCTATCACATCGGCCTATGACCAAGATGGTCAAGACTAGTCAGGCCTGGCAGTAGTCCAGACATCTCACAGGGTCCGCGATAGGGCGAAAGGTTTGTCCGTTGGCGAATCGGGCTCGCCATGACAGGGGCACGGGACGGCATTTCGCCTCAGACCATGAGCGCCTACACATAATAACAGGACATTACAGGGTTATCGATGGAGACAGATGCAAGTACAACCAGGGATTGATTCTTATTATAGTAGCTATAGACTTGGACTACTGCAGGCCTAAGATCCCGGCGGAAAGAACATGCCAGCATGTTGTACGACTCCTGCCCGCATGGACAGGATCGTTGCCCCAATACAATTGGAGCATGTCGATCAAAGATTAAGACCTAGAAAATTACTGAAGTCATGTCAGCCAAGACTCCACACATTATGTGCAACGAAAACAATCATAATGAAAAAGGTGCATGTCAGATCCAATGCCCTGTCACAGGCGGTGGTCATCAAGGTTAAATATTTATGTTGACCGTCGTGATTATAATAGTAGTAAATCATCATGTAAACGAGGGGAAAGGGAGTTGCAAAAGAGTAGGTTTGTACTCACGTTTTACGTATAAGGTTGCAAGCTGTTGGCTGGCGATGAAACTACTGATAACTACCACGCTGGTCAGTCACCATAGACGCGTGAGGTTGAAGATGATGTAGTGACAACATGTTGACTGATCAGTCATGACGATTGTCGTCCCGGTCGGCGAAGCCAACTTGGACATATGCTTGTCTTTATTTTGTGTCGTTTCATCATTGTGCGATGTGGGCTAGGCGGAGAATAGAGGTGGTAACATACAGATACCTGACTGTCAGACTTATACTGGAGATAGGTTGTCCCAATAAAAGTTCATTGTACTGCATATGAGTTAGCTTTGGTCTGAGCCAACTGATGCAACGTTCTATTTGAGAACAAGTATTTCAGAAATGCATGAATGGTATAAAAAAGATGTTGTCTGCATCGATAACTCGAATAAGACTCGTCATCTAGGGAATCATCCTCTAATGATGGGGAATCGCAGGAACGGGGCTTGGAATTTACCTTTTAGTAGGTGCCGTAGGGAGAAGATCATAGCAAACTGTCTGCCACTTTATTTACCAGTTAGCTTCAAGCCAAGAGGTCGTATTGTGTGAATCTCAATGATCGAGAGTGTATCTCAGTGGGCGAGGTTTTCTAGGCCTGCCGCAAAAAGGGCATATCCATCAAGACCGGACGTTATGTCTGACGCCGTCGGAGCCCAGTGCCGTTTCATCTTCGAAGGGATGGAGACGAAGGAGACAGTGAGATTAAAGCTTACCCTTCGCCAATCAGATGTGGAGATAGAGTCTGTGAGATCTGTATACATTCTTGTAACCGTCAGCATATGCGAGCAAAATTGATGACAGTGAAAACAATGGGCAGTTTGTATGACTGATCAGAAATAGCCAATTTATATCGTCGATGACCCGAAGGTCTCAGTCGGTAATTTCCAGCGTATATATTGTAAAAGAAGCATCATGCAAGTCATGGGAGGAGGAAAGGAAGGAGAGTATGCGGAAAGCTTACCATTGAATCAGACAGACTCGCACATTGTTCTAGGAGCTAGATGAGAGTATTAGTGTCCTATTGACCGTTAGCATCCTGCTTCGATCAATGCCTGAAAAATTGAACAAGAATGTCTTGAGCAAAAGCATCAGACTGACGTGCAAAACAATTGAGTTTTCATGCCCTGAAGGGGTCAAAGACTCTAGTTTGAAATGGTTGTAGGTATCATCATAAAGAGGGGAATGGGGAAGAAGATGGAAGGAAGCGCTGGCAAAAGTGGCACTTACCAAATGATTCCTGTGCATCGAAGCCAGATGTGTCAGTTCAACAACAGAGGTGAGCAAAGCCACGATAATGTGGTGATCTCTACAGATATGTGATGCATGCTTCCACGGGCATTATAGGAAGGCATCACACAGTGTGGGATGTTGTTGTGTGGGAAGAAAGCTGGAAACCCGCGTCGAAGTTTTTCAAGCATTCCGGTCGGAGCTAATTTTACCGAGAAGCTAGCCCCAATCTGGTCCGGTTATAAGTGGTTTAGGTAAGCATCTAACCGACAAGCGTTCTGCCGTGGCTTCCTTCCCTAAAAGGCGGAAAGAAAGGCGGTGGAGTGTCCCGTCTTACCTTCCGGTTTTGATTTCGGGTTCCCGATGGATGAAACTCGCATATTCTTAGCCTAACATGGGGATCATAGTACTATTCATGTCCAGAGCAATAGCTCTGGTCTATTGGGCTCGACCAAAGCTTTGAGACATGCCAGTAGCCCATCCCTTGTTGATCAACGGAGGAGGTGGTACTACTCCGGCTGTTCAGGGAGGGATCCGGAATCGAATCATTAAACAGAGCGGGCGAGACTCGAATAGTTCGGCATAGTTTGACGCGGATTATCAAAATTCGCATGTCTGGTGACCATCCGAAATCCACCCGCCGCGATTAGGTACAACGGGCTGCGAGATAGGTATCCTTTCTAGCTGCGCTTATGCGACATTTTTTTCTTTAAGCCCCTTAATACGAGCCGAGGGAGTCCAATAGTCCGGGTCAAACCAGCGTGGGGTGGTTTATCGCTTTGATTACTTGTTCCTTCGAACAGAACAATGAATAAGGGAAGTGCTTCTAGATACCTGGTATATATGAAGCGTAGGAGCTTGACAACACTACTAGAATTAAAAGTATCCTACATAGTAGATATACGGGATAGACTACTCCGTACTACTGGTAGAAAGAAACTCCAGATCGCAGCGCGGGGAAATTCGGGGCTAACCCGGGCGAAGGCAAGAGAAAGAGCCGGGAACCCGCCCAAACCGGGTTAGAGTGGGGGAATGACGAAAACCATCTTTCCCTTCCAGTTATTGCGTCAGGCCCAAAGGGAGAAGGGTTCTGGATGCTCTCTCCACTCTCTCTCTCTTTCTTTTGTAAAAGTCCGGTTTATGCTGGCTTCTGACGTTAGGTTCCTAACCCGGTAAAAGATTGGTCCTGGCTGGTCCCGACTCTCATACTTAGATAAAGGATGCCCCTGTTCACCTGGGATGGAGGATAGATCACTTTCTTCCTGCAGCTTCTACTCATTGACAACTGTCCCTCCTCCACTTGTCCAAAGTACTTATTTACTACATCTTAACCGCTCTTCCCAGCTCATTCCCCTCCTCTGTACCCTGGTTATCTCCGCATCTTCCTGCTTTCCCCGTTGACCCGAGGTTCAAAAGCCAAAGTTCTTAAAAGGATCAAACCCCAAGCGCCAGACTCGATTGTCTCCGCTTTCCACTTGTACTACTGCTTCACGAACCCTCTCTTCACTCAGATCAGACCACACACGCTGCACAACATGTCTGCAAACGGCAATGGCGGTGCTCCTCCTGTAGGACAAGAGAAAATCAACACTGATATTGTCACCCTCACCCGCTTCCTCACAGAAGAGCAGGCCAAGGTTCCAGAAGCCACCGGTGACTTCACGTGAGTCTCCCGTTAACCCCTCAGTCTGGCTGTTTCTCTTACTAAACGGAATCCCCCCTCTGTTCAGACTACTCTGCCACGCTCTTCAATTCGCATTCAAATCGATTGCCTACTACATTCGTCGCGCTTCCTTGATTAACCTGACCGGTTTGGCTGGTTCCTCGAACACGACTGGCGATGATCAGAAGAAGCTTGACGTCATCGGCAATGATATTTTTATCTCCGCCATGAAGGGCTCTGGCAAGTGCCGTATCCTTGTTTCCGAGGAAGAGGAGGAGGCTATTGTCTTCGACGAGCACCCCAACGCCCGCTATGCCGTGGTCTGCGACCCTATTGACGGTTCCTCCAACCTTGACGCTGGCGTTTCGGTTGGTACCATCTTCGGAATCTTCAAGCTTCCCGATGAGGTCCTTGGTCCCAACAACAAGGTCACTGCCCAGGACCTTCTCCGCGCCGGCACGGAGATGGTGGCCTCCGGCTTCACCATGTACGGTGCCTCCGCACAGCTGGTGATCACCATGCGCAACGGCGGTGTCAACGGCTTCACCATGGAGAACTCTCTGGGTGAGTTCATCCTGACACACCCCAACATGCAACTTCCTGCCAAGCGGGCCATCTACTCGGTCAACGAGGGTAACAGCATGTACTGGGATGACTGGGTGAACAAGTACCTCCACTCGCTGAAGTACCCCGGCGAGGGCCAGAAGCCCTACAGCGCGCGTTATATTGGTAGCATGGTGGCCGATGCCTACCGGACTCTCCTCTACGGCGGTATTTTCGCCTACCCGGCTGATTCCAAGAGCCGCAAGGGCAAGCTGCGTATCCTCTACGAGTGTGCTCCCATGGCTATGCTCTTTGAGAACGCAGGCGGTCTGGCGGTGAACTCCCAGATGGAGCGTCTTCTGGAGGTGGTTCCGGAACACATTCACGACCGGAGCGGTGTCTTCCTGGGCTCGAAGGACGAGGTACAGAAGATCATCGATACGTACAACCAGCACCACAAATGAGTTCATGGCACACAGGAACAGCACTAGGGTGGAGTTTAATGGTTTCATGTAACTTAATGCGAGTCTGCCAGTGCGTACAGCAGGTACCCGGTGACACCTTTGCACTGGCATGTCCTTTATGATCCACAAACATTTAAATATTTCGAAATGCAAATAAAAAAATTCTATAATTATACGATTCACAACTGATAAAAGCGTTTTCCTAGTCACTCGTAGGCTACAATGTCGAGCCGTTATTCTTTCAATCTCAAATTCAACTTGTTATATCTGCATTCCTCCCGCCTTGCCCCGCCCCCGCACCATTAGCCCAATTTATCTTTCTCTCTCCTACTCACAGATGATTACATCAGTAGCTATGTAATAAGAATGTGGCATTCAACGGGGTCAAAGATAGCTATGTAATTTCCGACCTGGTGTAGAATAATATACTGATGCTATAGCTCTATAATAGTATTTAATTTAAATATGGTACACCCTGCTTAGACACTCAGTTTGCTGATATATTTACCCAACGACTACCTAGTAGTAGAATTGAAGTACTAGTAGTACCATGCGTAACTCCTGGATTTACAGATCCAACTCATCAGGTACTAGTCTACTACTATGATTATGATCATAGCGAACCTTCAACAAACAGTCATAGAAGGTAAGACTTAGTACTATTACTATGACATTCATCACATGCTCTTCCATACATGTATCCAGCGACAAGTAATCCACCATAAAGCGAGTCATTCACGTATCTTGCTCTACTATCTATTGTTAGTGATACTCTCGCTCAACAACACAGCATAGTTTCAACACAGTCCAGAAAATATGTTCCTCCTTCTATTTACTCTGTTTTTGACATAACTCAATTATGATATAAACTCCACTATTCACGATCCAACATTACTCTCCCAGCATTTGCCATATCTCACTGAAATTCTTCGACCACAATCCACAAACGAAGCTTCACCAAGTCGAAACCTTACTCCAAATTCTAGCCAATATGCTCAATATTTCACCCTTTCATGGATTGCAGTTATACTGTCTCTCAAAAAATACAACCAACCAATCGGAGATTTTCGGATCACTCCTTAAACCCCCGATCTGAGCTGAGCTAACTCTCTTGGGCAGTACGTAGATAGAAAGGTAAAAAAGACTTGACTAGATATGAGATGGAAGTGCCCACTATAGAAGAAAAATTGGTGCTTGGTTTGGTATAAGGGAGATTCTCTCAAGCAAGATCCAATCACAGTGCAGCGGACTCAGTAAGTACTAGTACTTCAATGAGTGCTTGAGTGATTTCATATTTTTGATAATGGGTTGTCTAGTATGTAGTATGGTGGAATATGCTACTGGTAAATAAATATATCCCAGCTGCAACTACTACTATACTAATAGCTAGCAGCTGCGAGCAGCACTCGTAGAACAGTGGCTAAAGTAGCCTTCATTCCTATTTAATGGCTAGATATTAAATCATTCCCAAGTACGTAGAACGAACCTGTCAATCACTCCGTGGTCTAGATGCCGAAGAAATTGTGTGAAGCATACTAGTCTAGCAAAGCCCGTAATTGGTGGAATAATAAATTTCCTTCGTCAATGCTGGTACTGACTGCAGTGAACTCGGCAAAGATTCCATAGTTGGACACTCGTATTCATTCAAGCAATAGATAGAAGTAAACATACTATGCTACAAGTGTCAATTAATTCTGATGAGGCGTTGAAGGAATGCTCTATTTCCTAGTGGCAATCCGGGCAGGACTCCTTTCCCTTAGTACCCGCTTTCCAGTTTCGCACATAATCAAAACAGAGACGTACTGCTGATTTCTCTGAATGCGGAGTGACCATTAACTTTGGTCTACTTTCTCTGCAGAGACATGGAGTAGAATTTTACAGGATATGACATTTACTGGTATAACCTACAACTCGTTGCGTGTACAATTCGACATATATATTTCCGATCATCTAGTAGCACAGCCAAAAGAAAGACACGGATAAAGGGACAAGACGCCATGAATATCTAGATTCGATCGAATTCCCTCAGGGAATGGAATAATGTGACATCTCGATCCAAAAGTGTGAAAGGAAAGGAATATGCAACGCATGCAGTCAGAAAAAGAGAGACTAATCAACAGGATCCTCTTCGAGGAGGGTCTTGAAGCTGAACGGGGTGAAAGGTATGCCTTCACCCATGAAATGCTTGCTCATGGCTTCGACCCAGTGTAGACGGAGGGAGTGGAGCATGGCACTGGTACCCTCCATGACACAGAGAATGGCAATGGTCAAGGTGAACCAGAGGTAGAAGGTGACAACGATCATGATGACCCGCATGGTGGGGGACTCTTGCTCGAAGGCGCCGCCAATGGTCATGTCCCACAGCACAATGGAAAGCTGCTGGTGGGCCAGAGACAGAGCCCACAGACGCAGGTAGGAAGCGGTGTGGGAGATACAGTTCAGACAGAATTCAATGGTGTGGATGACTTGGTGGATCATGATCTCGCCGAAGTCGAACTCCTCGTGCTCTTCGTCTCCAAGATCCTGAGCGATCATGGCAACACCTTCACCATCGCTAGCCATGCTGTCGCGATTGCCATCGGCATCGTCTTCTAACGCACTAACCCGGGATGGCTCACCAAGGCCGCGGTATCCAAGAGCGCGGGCACGGTTGTGCTCCCAACGGAGGTAGAACGGCTTGAAGAAGAGCATGATCGGCACCTGAATGACAGCAAGAAGCAAGAGCAGAACCTGAACGCTTGCCTGACCGGGGTAGAGCTGCTCCTCAACAGTTCCCGGAGAGAGGAACATGAAGATAAGCATGTTAAGAAGTCCGGGAGGAGACTGGCCTCGGGCGTTCCAATCAACGGACCACTTGTAGATGATGGTAAGAACAAGGTAACCGAAGATTGACTGGAAGAAGATCATGCCGGGAATGAAGTTACCAATAACATCAACCTTCGACTTGAAATGCCGAGCGTTGACGTATTGCAAGCAGAGAGCGTAGGTCATCTGTGAACAAGGTTAATACTTGGTTAAGAGATGTGGGTGAAGAGTCTTACGTGTGCCCAACCGAGACAAATACTCATCTTCATCTTCAGACTGTTTGTGAAGAGAAGAGAGTTCTCGGCTTCGTGCCAGTTCCAGTCCAGACCAAAAGGGAAACGATAACCTGTCTTCAAAGATGCCTCGACGGTCTGTCCCTGCTTAATATCGTCGGGCCACTGCCATTGACTAGGGAAGACGGTGAAGGACTTGGAAAAGACATCGTTGTAGAGAAGACCGGTGTACATAGAGAAGATACCCATCATAAGCATGATGTAACGACCGTAGAATGCCATGTATGTCAGCTCGTCCAGCTTGGTCTTCGCCAGCTTGCGTTCCCAGAAGATCATAGCGGCGGCAGCCATGGTCATCAAGGCACCGTGGCCAAAATCACCGAACATGACGGCAAAAAGGAAGGGAAATGTGACGATGGTGTACAATCCGGGGTTGGCTTCGGAGTACTTCGAGATACCGTAGGCGTCGACGATAGTCTGGAAAGCTTGAGTGAACTTGTTCGTCCGCATGTAAGTTGGTGGGGTCTTGTTGGTCCGGATTTGATTGACAATGGTAGGCACACTCAACCCAGCACGGTCGTTGACGTCCTGCAATGTCGACTTGATCAAGCCCAGCGAATTGGTCGGACACCATGCTTCCGCGATAAGAGTCTTTCTCGCCTGATCGTAGGAGAATTTGTTCAGTGTATCATACACAGCCTTCTCCTTCTTGACAATGATCATCCAAGCTGCAAGCGAGCGGGCAATCTGCGTGAGCTCCGCGTCGAGGGTGTTCTTGGTGTTACGCAGGACATTGCCAACATCACCCAGGCGGGTATTGACCTCATGAATCTGGTCCCGCCTCAGCTCACTGTTCTCATCGACGTTGTAGAGGGAGGCCCCCAGCGACTCAGAAATCTTCCGAATCTTAGCGATGATGCTCTTTCCGTGAGCAAAAATGACGAAGACGTTCTTGTGGGACTCCTCGTTGGTGGTCGGGTCGATGATGGCCTCAGGGATTTCCGACTGGTTCATGTAAAGGTTACCACGCAGAGTACGCCACAAGATGCGCTCGAAGGCTCCGATCCTGTCCCGCGGAATCACACCGGCCACAAACCCGATGTTCATCTCAAGGAAGGACTGCTGGCCCTGCGCATCGCCGTTGGGGCCGCGGCTCTGCTGTTCGACATCGCGGAGGAGAGGGGCTTCGTCGTTATCGAAAGATTGGCGGATTTCCTCCGTGTGGCTGTGAGCGCGATCGAAGAAACCACCAGCCTCCCTCAGCACCCAGCGCCACTCAGTCAACTCCACCTCACGTTTCTTCAGGGTCTCGTAGCTATCGTTCAGCGAAGCGATCCGTTGTTCGAGGCTTTCACTGCGCTCGGCGAGCTCGTCGATTTCGGAGGCCAAGGGAGCAGCCAGGGTGTCGGAGAATTCGGACGAAGATCTCATGGGAATGCTTGCCTTGTCCATCTGAGCGTGGAAGTAGCCTGGCGTGCGAGACGGGTTAGATCGAAGTCCATGGAAACTTTATCACTGATCACAGAACATACGCAGCTGTCTTTCCACATTGTCCAAACGACGAATCTCCTTCGTAAAAGTACGCTGGAACGCATTGGTGTCGGGGTTAAGCTAGTGACAGACGTAACAGATATCAGCCGGGTTCGTTTCGTGCATGTCAATCAAGATATCAGAGAACCAACTCACATCTCTGAATTGAACCTGACCGAGTTCTCCCAGAGCACTGACAACCTCTCTTCCGATCTCGTTGGCGATGTAGAGCTGGGTTAAGCTCATCTCCGACGAGCGGAACAAGGTGTCCCTTGGAGCCATGGTGAAAGCAAGACTGCCTTAAGCAGTTCTTCTACACCACAGGGACAAAACTGCGCAGAAGCGCTGGAACCAGAGATTGATTGACTAGCTATGGGATAAAGATAGATTTCCCAAGCCGAACTGGCAAAGGATTAACTGAAACGGAGAACT